CATGTGACAAATAAGCAGGTTTCAGTGCTTATAAGTAAGAAGCATTCTTAAGAAATGGCTTGAGAGGAATTTAATGGCACCCAATTCACCCAGTACTCTTGAATCCAGACTTGTGATTTTCCACTGCGAAGGGCCTAGAATCCATTAGTTGTGCAACTTTTGATGACTGTACTTTCTTATGACCTAAGTTGCTTTTCAAACTTGCAGTTTCAATCAATGAGCTGGAAACTGTATCCAGAAATATTACTTACTTCATTGCACCAAAGCCCTAACAACTTAACTTCAGGATTTCTGCCAAATGAAAAACCTGCAATTCATAAAGATGAGCTGTCATCCACAAGATAAATAGTTAAATAAGTTTTTAAAAAAACAAATTCTAACTTTAGAGGGAGTCAGACTGGACTTGGGAGTTGGAATTCATACCAGCAGGTCTGGGAGATGGACAAGAGACTACTACCAAACAACCATTCTCTACAAGTTTGTAAAAGACACTACTTTAGATTTGGTATGACATTTACCGCCAATAAAAAAGGCAGGTCCAGCTGCCTCTTGACTTAAGCCAAAGCTCTAGACAAGTCAATTAACCAATAACTGGGAAGGAAGAAGAGCTGCATGTCAGCAATTTGAGCTATTTTTTATGTCGTTACTTATTTTTTTAAGTAAATGAGACTTGGCAGCAGGAAGGTTAAATAACAGCGCAGAGCATAGTCACGCTGTCCTTTATTTCTACTTGCACAGGCCTGTGCGAAGAGCAATCAGGCAATGGACTTCCCCAAACCCACCAGCAGACCAGTACGCCCACCGGCACCGAGAACCCACCTCCTTCACCCTTGCCCATCTTTGAGAAGTCCACTTTTCCCAGCGCAGCTTACAACTGCTGCAGCCATTTTTTTGCCCAGCTGAATCCATTACAATCACTTCCCGTTCTCACCCACTGGTGTAACCGTGGCCTGCCCTAACTTCCACAAAGCTGTCCAGCCATCACTCTCCATAGAAATCTGCATCAGAAAGAGTTTTGCTTCTGACTTTGCACCATTTATGTGGTTTATAGCAGGATGTCGCTGCATCACAACACTACACCTGTTTTGAGGAATGTCTTTTTCCCCTTGGGACAAAGTACAGTAACACAGCAGAGGGCATAGCACCGCTGAACTATCAATGCAGAGAAGCCTTCTTTTAGTGTTCAAGGAGAAGCCATGAACTTGAGTCTCGTCTTACAGCAGAGGATGAAGCAGATTACCCATCACTTCAACTAGGAGCATTTGAGCTTCTCATGCTCAGGAGAAAATGTCAGCTGTGGCTTCTAAGTTCCCCTCTTTTCCACCTCCCTATCTACATTACAAAATATTTGTTTACAGATCTGTTTTGTTTCTCAACTGAAACCACATAAACCAAGAGCAAACTGGATTTGTGATCACATCAACAGCGTACCATTACAATAATAAAATCCACAGATGACCTTTCTGGAATGATATTATCTACCACACATTTCAGAGGAAACTCACACAACTTGACGAATCATATTTCTATCTCAACTTCCCCAGAAGAATGCACTCCAAACCATCTTTTCGTGAAGGCTCCTCAAGGCATAGCCTAGCCAGGACTGACCTGCCTGCACAACCACACTCCTTTTATGAAGGGTTCAGAACAGCATTACGCAAATTAAGACTCAGGAACGGTACACCTAGAAATATCTCAAGCAGCGAGGCTCCACTTCTGGAGTCACCTGCAGAAAAGCACAAGTGGTTGTTTTAGGAAAAAAAAGTTGCATTGTAGCGTCTTTATCCATTTGCCTAATCCACTGCAGGAAAGACAATGCTGCTGCTTGGCCTCATATCAGCATAAAACCTGAAGTACAGACTCTTCAGCCATCTCAAGAGCAATTGATCAGCAGAATGGAACTAAAATAGAAAGAAACAACAGAAAGGTGGGGAGCCTAAGTAAAACTATTTAATAAAAAGTCTAACCAACCTGACCTATGTGCTGTGCTATCTTTTTTACAAGCTTATTTTGAATTAAAACTTAAGCTTGTTTAAATTAAAACAAGCTTATTTAAATTAAAATTAATTTTACAGGGAAGCTGAGGTATTTCTTAACTTGGAAATTAGAACGGCCTATTTTCTAACAACTGTGTGGAAAATAGGCAACACAATGAGTCTTCAAATATATGCTGCTACTCACCATGACTCCTCATTTTCCAAAGACACGAGGAAGCTTTCCAGCATTCTGGAGATTTCAAATTAAATTTCCAAAATTTATCTTAAGATCAGGAAAGCAAAACTTCCTCCCAAAGACATCATACAACACCCAACTGCTTTCATATGCTAGGTTTTCAGATCAGTTTTTCAGTACTTTTAATACTGCTGCAAAACGAGCCATTCTATCCTCAAGTTTTAACAGTTCATTGTACAGCTCAGAAATATATACCTTTTATAAACCTTTAAACAGCTGCATTCACATCAAAAAGGCAAATATAAATTCCTATTTTGCAGCTTTTTCTGCAGTAAGCAAGCAAAACTGCCTAATATTTTCAAAAGTGGCATTCTGACTCGAAAGGGAGTCCACATGAATTATTATATATTAGACACTGAATTCCCCTACAAAGCAACAGTTCCTTTAAAAAACAAAATGAAACAAACTCCTTCCCGCAACACATATTTGACTCAGTCTTTTATTTAATTACAAAATGATCCAGTTTTGAAACCCCTGCTAACGCAGAGCATTCTCCTGGTACAAAAAAATTCATATACAGTATTGTCATGATATTAGAATGGGTGTTTTGCAGTCTATGACTCTATTTTATCTCCTGATATGGCCAAACACCGCTCACGCTTGGCAGTGCTGAGTGGATGCAATTTACCCTAGGGTAGCAGTTCCTATTAACAGTGGAATTCTTTTCTATAAGGAATTTGGCGTCAGGGCCAAAAAATTCTTAAACTTTATGCAATTTCAGGCATTGAGTCAGAACTTTTGTAAGCTTACAGTGAGGAATGTAAACTTAAAAAAAAAAATATATCTGTCAGAGGTACTACTACTGATATATTTCACCACAAGTCTTCTGTTGGCCTTTAAAGACATAATCATCATGTATTATCTTTCATCTGCACATACCAGCGAGGTTAAGATACCACTTATCCTCCTGTATCATGATCCATATTAACGACAGAGGGATGCAGGTGAGAATTCCCCACTGGGAATCCAGTCTGGGGATCCAGAGCAGAAAAACCTCTACCATTGATAATCCTGTAATGTTCAATTTTCTTCCAGACATCTTCAATTCTGCCAGATCAGTGGAAGAGAAACAGGCCTTCCAGTTTTCTAAACCTTGCTTAAGGGAGCCTGAATAATTACTGAAAAATAAGCAATAGTCTCTGTAATGTTTATTAATAGCACTGATGTCTCTCTCTGGATGGATATGGATGTCTACATATCCAAGATCATACTCTAGGAATAGATCTCTAAATAGACAATTTAGATATTTCTTAAAAATAGGTATACCTCCAGTTGATAGTTTCACTAATCTCTCGTCACAGTTCTACGACTGCATAAAGGCACTGAACCTGTGGGCTGGTCTTGGACCCTCCAGAAAGGGCAAAGAGGCATTCACCGTTTTAGAGCCTGTTCCATGTACCTCTTTCTAGTCGTGTAAACAAGTCCACTTGTTCAATCATTTTTCTTTAATCTGGCCAGGGTGCCAGAAGAGCTGGCTTTTGCAGCATGCCCATAACAAAATATGCATATACAGCCATAAGGAGAATTGGAACAGCTTTCCAGGTCACTGCATATAGTTTAATGCTCAACAGCTAAAGGCAAGAGTGCAGACTGCTCCCTGCTGTAAAGCTGTAGCGTTGCATGGAAATATGAGAGTTAATATTCTGGTTTCCACACAGAAAAGAGAGTCAATTTCCCCACATACCAGGGATCACAGCAAAGTCAGGACCATAAATTAGGAGTCTTGTCTCAATCTCACGCTGCTTTTTAAGTGGAACTACATTTCTTTTATTTCTATGATTAGATAATCTCACGATCATCCAAAAAAGTCTGTTGTGTTGTACACATGAAGTGTAACCAAATCCTCCTTTAAAGCCAAAGTGATCTCTATGTATCTTCCACAAGTACACTCACTGAGATAGCTGTAAATTCCAGGGGAAGAAGCTGGGAAGTATTAGCGTACTTGGAAACAGATACTGACCACAGCTGCCAGGACCGGTACTCCCAATTCAACTGAAAGTCTCTGGCTCCATCTATAGATTAACCACTCGAACTGCAATACCGGAATTCCAGGTGCAAGGCATGGAAAGGAGGAGGAAAACATGGAAAATACCACGACCACTTTAGGCACTCTCTTCCCTTTTTTCCATGCCAGGGGAGACGAGGACTGCCCTGGATGCGTCACCTAAACAGCCACACTGTAGTGCCCGCTAACTTGTCAAATACAAAACAAGAGTTTTGCAGTCCTGGATATGCTAGAAAGAATTCAAATTATACTACCAAGAAAAAGCATCCCTTGCCATTCACTGCTGTCATTGGTGGAATGCTCTAGGACAAACAGAATGTTTCATTGAACAGATCTTAACTGGTTATGGGGGAAAGGATGATATTGTTTCACATACATTTGTTGTGCTGTTCCCAGGTAATAGTAGAGCAGCATAAACAAAGTGCAGTAAACATTTTTTTGCTGAATAAACAGGAAAAAACAGTATCAAGATACCAAGTCACGGTACAAGAAAGACCCACCATAGCTATGTAGTCTGTTCTGTTTACATAAGAAGTTCAAAACAGCTGAGATGGAGGTGCCTGTAGTAAGCTCACTTATGCCACTGCAAAAGGGTTGGAGGAGAAAGGAAAAAAATTAAAACAAAATTTAAAACAATTATTTCTAGCAGTGGGAAAGCACCATACATTCAGTCCAGGAACGTGAAACAAATTTAGCATGAATTCAGAGCTCACCTTTCCAAGGCTTATCAGCTCACTTAAGAAGTAAACTGCAATAATCTTACCTCTACATCCTGCTTGTTAGCTAACACCAGGATGGGAACCCCTTCCAGAGCTTCGCTGGTAATCATCTTCTCTATAAAGCACAGAAACAAAAACAGAGGTTTAGCCCGTTCTGGAAGATAAAGTTGTGCAAATGCCCGACACAGACTATCTGGACAAAGGGATGAAGGAAGAGGCTCCTTCTTGCATTATAGTTTCATTCAATACAACCTTTTGGGTCTACTTTCTTCACAGTAGTTTTTCCAGATCAAGCTCCAAACTTAACTTTCATCAACAAGCATGTTACTGAGAATTAACGAGGTGATAAATATAGAATAAGGAATAAAAACTCCAAAATCGTGAGCATAAGCACAAAAAAAGATTCAAGGCCATTATAGGCAAGAAAAGCGAGTCCTGTGTTACAGGCAAGACAGGCATCAACAAAAAAGTGCAAGCGCCCTACAGATATGTCATCAACAGGCCACGCAGCTTACTTCAAGGACACAGGAACAGACGTGATAGTAAATGAGAGACCTGTGCCACAATACGTCATGAAATCACAGTACAGGTAAAACACCACGTACTCACCAAAAGCTCTTTTAGATTCCGAGAGCCTCTCCTCGTCAGTAGAGTCGATAACATAGATCACTCCATGAGATTCAGCGTAATACTGAAAAGATAACACAGATATTAGTGTTATCTATCTGCTAGAACCAATTGTTCCTCTTCCTGACTTTTTCTATTTAAATTTGGTGAATTTTTGATACACATGGAAGAGCTCAACCAGTTACAGCCAGCTGTTTCCATAGGACGTCTGGAGAGAAGAATGGTGGCACGCAGAATGCATTGCCTGTTCTGTTTGCAGGCCTACTGAATCCAACAGGTGAAAAAGCTCATATGCTCCCCCCCAAAAACTTATCTCTACTGGCACAACCCTCTGATATGGGTTGGTAATTGCTGCCTGTAAACAATAATGCAAACATTAAGCACTGTCTTTGCTAATCTTGCACAGATATAGTTGAATCTCTGGAAAAGTGCTGATGCTAAATACTAGGGTTACCAATAAGCCTGTATGATTACTAAATGATCACTTTGCTTCAATTCTAAAAGAGACAAAACCATTTCTAAAAGAAAAAGAACACATTTCCAACCTTGTCCCAAAGAGACTGTAGCTCCTCCTGTCCCCCAAGATCCCAGAACATTAGCCGAGTTTTGCCAACGTCAATAGTACCAACTAGAGGGAAAGAAGAAAAAACAATCCAATGAAAACTGAAGGTGTTCTCTAAAGCACAAACACCTGCACACCCCCTAAGAAATCCAGGGTGGAACAGTCTTCTAGAGGAACAAATCACATACAGTGGCCACTTTCGACAACAGAGCAATACCTCTGCAAAGAGTGACCGCTAATATCAGATAGAGTCGTACCAGTGCAAATAATATCAGAATCAGGCCAACAAATGAACTCCAGTGAAATTTAGCTTAACCTCTGAGCACAGCACTGAAATGGGATACTTGGTTTGTTAAGACGTCACGGTTTTTTCCTCATAAGCTAAGCAAGCCTATTTTATTCTCTTACAAAAAGACACGGGGAGTTGGGAGCTACAATCTCTACTCCCAGGAGCTATTTTGCTCTTGTCAATTCTTAAATATTTCAAACTATTGTCTAATTGTGCAGGAAAGCTGAAAAAATTCCAAACAGATTTACTTACTGTTTAAGCCTACAGTGGTTGTGATTTTGGACAAACTCATCCCTTTGTAGTTCTTGTTAAATCGAGTTTTAGTTTGTTCAAGGAAGGTCTGAAAAGAAACAAGAAAAAGTATTTACTCTCAAATATTTTACGGCTGGGATAATCCTAACCCAAACCTGCCTTTTTATTTCTGCAGAACCCTGCTCCAACAGATACTGCCCTACCTAACCTTGGAACAAACCACTCTTCTCGTTCCCTATTTTAGCAAGGAAAGAAGGGATCACGGGTGATTACAGGATTACCAAAGCCTCAGCTACATCCCTAAAAGCTTATGCTAAATTTAAGTAAGAGGGAAAAGTTGATTCTTTGGTGTGACATCACTAAAATAACTCACAATACAGCCAAAGAAAGATTGACCTGTCTGTCGGAAGTTTTATCTTTGGAAGATGTTTAGAATTGCGTGTGCCCTCCACGCAATTGGTAATAAACAGCACTTACGGTTTTACCAGCATTGTCCAAACCAAGGATCAAGATGCAGTACTCATCCCTCTGGAACATGTATTTATAGAGTCCAGACAGCAGAGTATACATCCTGCTCCTGCAACAAGTACCAAGAAATCATTAACAAACAGGTCATTTCCAAAAGTCTCTCATTCCACAATGCAAGTTTTTCCCAACACCAGATAAATAAACGACATTATTTTTTTATCAGGAGCTCTCCTACTTAGGCAACTCCAGGACAAATCACAGATCTAAGAGACATCATGCAAATAGCTCAAGATCAACTTTTCAAATGGATACAAGTGAGGGATTATCTTCCAAAGAGCTTAACCCCTGGTTCTGCATGTAGTGCACAGCATCCACTGCAAACTCAACCCTCACTTGAAAACTACCCTGTCTGCTTTGGGGCTGAAAGGAGAGCTAAAGAGGAGCTCGAATGCCTTTTGCGGTACATGTAAACGAAGAACACAGAAAACGAAGCCAGCTTCACACAAATACACAGAATGGGTATTTTGAGCAAGAATGTACACGTCGTTTCCCCCCTCCTTGTTCCCGATCCATATAACAGTATCACGGGATCGCTAACAGTCGAACTGAGCGCAGCATACCTTAAAGGCACATAACCCCCTACTTATCTTAATGCAAGCCTTATCCAGCAACAGTCTCCTGTTACGGCATCCACCGTACACGTATTTTGTCATCTTACAACGCCATGAAGACACGATAGGTAAGTTAAGGAGCCAAAAGCACAAGACTAAGAATCAAACAAAGCGACACCAACACCTGTAGAAGCCCACACTTTTTTTCTCACTGGATTTGCACAAATCAGGCAGAGGATTTGCTCAGATGCAGGAAGTATTGGTACCAAGTGCTACGGCTGACTCACAGAATGTTGCAACAACTGTTCTGTTTAAAGGGAACCTCAAGGAACAGACTTTGAGAAGGAACTGTCTTTGAGCAAGCGTGCAGATAAACAATCACTGAAGTCAAACAACATTGCCAAAAGGAAAAAAAAAA